GGGGGGGGGGGGGGAGCATCCACGCCCCTGGCTTCTCACTGCTTTGGCACAGGCTGGCTAGGATTTGGGGTGAAAGCAAGTGCTAGGGTGAAAACTCCACCCATCTGCGAGCAGGTGCCAGGATTCTGGAGCTGGCTCTGCCGTCGATTTGCTTTGTGGCCTGTAGCAGATTTTTGCCCTCCATGGGCTTGAGTCTTCCCATCTAAAATGACCAGGGAGGACTAAGTGAGCTCAGGAGTTTCCATGTATCTCCTGTGAAATTAACTAGTTGCTGCCACATTCTTGGAAAACAAATGGTAGATAAGGGTTGCAAGGAAGGAGCCCTGGTACAACAGACCTGTGAAATCCTGCCACCCCAAGTGTCCTGGGGCTTCCCTGGTGGCTCAGATGGTAAACAATCTGCCGGCAGTGCAGACCTGGATTTAATCCCTGGGTTGGGAAGATCCCCTGGAGAAGGAAATGGCAACCCACTCCAGTGTTCTTGCCTAGAGAATCCCATGGATAGAGGAACCTGGCAAGCTACAGTCCACGGGGTCACAAACAGACACGACTACCTAGTGTGAGCAGTTAACACAAGTGACCTGAGTTCTGGTCACCAGCACCTGACCACTGAGGCCATCCTGAGGACACTACAGTCATTCCGTCAAGGGGAGTTAGGGAAAAATAGACACGAGTCCCAGAGGTCCTCCCGCCTATCTGCAGAAGTGACAGCCCCCGCTGCCTTGCCCGGCTGGGCTGCACAGGACCTGCTGCCGTGACCCGCTGCGCTTTGCTGAGCCCCAGGCTGCAGGGCACTGACTCCACCCTGAGCCTGTGAGGTACCAGGCCAGGACCAGGCTCCTCTTCTTGGGGCCTTCCGCTCACAGGGAGCCTCAAATTCTACTTCTTTATACAGAAAGGGGATAACAGGCCTGGAAAGACCTGCTCATCACACGGCTTTAAAGCTGCATCCCTTTTTGGGCCTTTCTTCATTTTCATCCCTATGGAGAGCTGTCCTGTGCTGGTAAGTGCTTACCAGTAACCTCTCCAGGGGAGAATGTATGCACTTATATCCATACATAAGTTTATTGTAAATAAGTCAAAGAAGTGTAGCACAGTTTTGCAGATAAAATATAAATACTCTAAATTCCAGGCAGCCAGTCCACTCTTAGCAAGTGCTTGTGACTTTTGCCGAACTCAGTAACCAACCTATGGCTGCAATTAGACAAATGAAAATAGTTCTGAAGGAAACATTGTTTGATATTTTTATTTTCTTTAAAGAGCAGAAAGAAAGTGAAACAAAGATTTATGTCAGAACTTCTCTCCTCCTTCAACAGTTGGAATGATCTTGCTCAGTCAGATAATATTTTGCGAACAGGAGAAGAACAATTCCTCAATTGTTTGCTCTGTTTCACAATGTAACTGCTATGGGCACAACTCTCAGTTAAGTTTAATTTGCATTATTAGCATTTTCTCCATCACTTTCTTAAGTCTAACAACCAAAAAAAAAAAAATCCCAGGCCCTGGTGTGTAGTGTTCATGGATTTCCATGGTATGAATACTCCCACTGCAGCCTTTTTCTAAGTTACAAACATGATGTCTCTGAATGTGAATTTGGGAGAGAGATGCAGCCAGGCATCAGGTAGCGTGGCCCCTGTATGTGTCCATGGATGTAAATAACCGTGAATGCATAGACAACAAGAAAATACAGTAAAACAATTAGGAAGTGACAAGCTTTGAGTGAGATTACCTTTGTTTTTAATATCATTATTTCATTGTAAGTTTATATAATTTTTATCAGGGGCTATGTTTGACAACTGTCTCACCAACTTCCAGGGCTGGGGGACTCCAGCTCCAGTGCCCACTGACTGGGCTCAGTAAACGGAAGTTACTCCCCCTTTTCTGCCCTTGGAGACAACCCGCCCCTGCTGTCTCTTGGCAGAGAGAGTTGATCCTAGGTCCCCAAGTACCTAGGTGAATGGCTCACAAGTGTGCATCCCAGGTGTGAATTTTTCTTCAATGTTGCTTCTCTGATTACCAAGCAAGGCAGGAAACCTGGTTTGAAGGCTTATCCAACCTGAGTGAGGAGCACAGCAGCATCTTCTGAGATGCAGATCATTTCTGCTCCCTGAAGTAACACCAGTAACATGGGCATCACCCTGACTCAGTTATTTGACCAAATTTGCCTAAAGGATGACCCAAGGAGCTTGTTAAAATGCAGTTCAAAGGCTCCCCTACCTGGTGATTAGGGTTCTGAGGGGATCATCACACCTCACCAGCTCTTGGATTGAATCTGATGTGGCTCCTGCAGCCCACACATTCGGGAACCCCCGTTCAGCACACCCCTCCCCCGCATCCCTCTGTGCCTACTGCCTAAGGAACCCTGCAGTCAGGCCTGGAGATTAGCTGAGTCCGAAGATTAAGACTCCTTCCAGGGGAAGAGAGAGGTCACCAGAAGCTGCAGGACAAAGTTTCAGCTACAGCTAGAGTAGGGGAGTGGTGGAGGGAGGAGGAACTTGGGCTATTGGATCCCTGCCCTTTGCCATTTGAGGTCTGTTTGTGTGTTTGCGGGCTTACATGTGATGACTGAACTGGACCCTGTTGCCTGGAAGCCTTTATTAGTTTTCCAGGATTTATAATCAGCACTGATTATGGGTCCGCTAAGGCACAAGTGCTTTAGGTATATTACTGGTCATCCTCCCTGCGACACTGCAAGCCCAGCAGGCCCTCTGTTTACACATGAAAAAGACAGCAGACACCAGGGTGAGCCCCAGGACAGTCTGCCTTTAATCTGCTGTATGTGTTTGAGAGCATGACTTTTCAGACTTCAGATTGCAATTCATTCATAATTCCCATCCATCACACTTTTTTAACTTTCTTAAGAAAATTATCAAAAGCAGGTAAAAACAGTACTATATCAACCAGCATTTTTAAATGAAATATAATCAAATAGATCATGACATGCTTATCACATGATGATTCAATATTAGTTCATAAAACACGTGCTAGGCCTGTGGATCTGAGACCACCTGCATCTGAATGACCAGGGAGCTTCTGTGAAGTCCATCCTAGTCCGTTCCACCAACCTGCCCAGTAGATTCCGGGGAGGGCTCCAGGAATCGGTGATGACACATGTTTTCAAGTGATCCTGAAGCTTCTCAGAGCTGGAGAGGCACTTGCTAGCCATGGACTTGCTGTGGGACATGGGACCCCAAACCAAGTTCAGGGCTTGCACCCCAGGGGCTGCCTGCCGAAAATTTTTGGAAAGAAACTTTATACCAGACAAATCTGCCCAATCGTCTAGCACCCTGAAGCACACTCAGCAATTAGAGCAAACGTTGAAGTTGTACATGTTGAGTTCATTTTGAGCTCTTCTGTCTCGGGAACACTGGAAACTGACAAAGATTCCCCTTCTGGAGCAGTGGTGCGGCCTGCTTGGGCAAAGCAAGCCCTGCTTGGCAGCAGCTGTCCACATAACCAGCACTCACCTGGATGACCAGGGACACTGGCATCAGAGCACAATCATGCCTCCCTCTCTTCCCCTAGGTCAACTCTGACACTCCCTCTGACAGTCATCTTCTCATCCTCCCTTGCTGGAAGCCCAGCAAGGCTTTGTGGGGTCGCTTTCACCTGATGCCTGTGGGTTCCCCTTGTCCCCACTCCAGCATGAGCCATCGGCCAAGCCAAGGTGACAGGACTTTTTTCAGTTCAGGGCAAGAACCAGGGTTTTGTGACTCCCCAACCAGGTGTCTTACAGTATCAAGCTAGATGCTGCTCCAACATCCAGGTACAGGTGAGGGGGTCCCCCAGGTTCTGCTATCTCGCCAGGATCATCATGGGCATGGGGACAGGGGTGGGTGGCCACACTCCTCAAGGAATGTATCTGCCCACTGACCACTGGCACTTTCCTCCCCTCTCCTCTGTCTCCTTGCAGGACACAACGGGCTGGTGGCTGTGAGTGCCTCCCCCTCCGCCCCACTTCACTGGCCCCTGGGTGTGTGGCTCCCAGCAGGAGTGTGAGGAAGCTGGCAGGATGAGGGTCGCTGGGGAGAAGCAAAGGTCGGCCGGTCCCCTCACCCTGGTGCTGACCAGTGACTGGCTCAGGTGGACATCCACAGTCCTTAAAGACGATATAGGATTGCTTGCCTCTCCTTAATGCTCATAAGTTTCCACCTTAACCTTTCAAAACCAAGGTGATAAACGGCTGGGAAAGTGTGTAACGGACGTAACACGGGAGGCAGGTTGGAACCTTAGGGAGCAGGTAACTGGGGCTGGGGGCCCTGAGACTCCAGATGGGGAGCTGTCCTTGTATACAGAGCCAGTGTTCCCCAGCTAGGTCTAGGCCAGGCACCACCTTGGGGAACATGCAGCTACACATGGTCCAAGGTGCACCCTGGAGAGAGTGGGGTGCACTCCAGCCAATCCAGCAGAGGAGGCAGGGCCCTGCCCCGGCACAGTTGGCGTCTGGGTCCCAGGCTGACCGCAGGCCAGGGTGACCCTGAGGCTGTGCTTCTCAAACCAGAGTCTGTGTACCCCTCGGAGGCCATAGTGCGTGATGGAGGTTCAGGCCTCAGGATTCACACAGAGCATTCTCCTGAGCAGTGTTGCTGTAGAATATGAGTGCAGGGGATTCAGCAATGTGGAGAGCCAGGAGACCTGTGTTACATCTTAATACTTTCCCCAGTGTAGCAGTTTTGTTCAGACATGTTACAGGGGACATTATTTAACTCAAGTGAAAGTGAAAGTCGCCCAGTCATGTCCAACTCTTTGCAACCCCGTGGATTATACACTCCATGGAATTCTCCAGGCCAGAATACTGGAGTGCATAGCCTTCCCCTTCTCCAGGGGATCGTCCCAACCCTAGGATTGAACCCAGGTCTCCCACATTGTAGGTGGATTCTTTACCAGCTGAGCCACAAGGGAAGCCCAAGAATACTGGAGTGGGTAGACTATCCCTTCACTAGCTTATATTCCCGACCCAGGAATCAAACCAGGGTGTCCTGCATTGCAGGCAGATTCTTTACCAACTGAGCTATCAGAGAAGCCCCCTATTTAACTCAACTGATCACTGATTTAAAACACTTATTTTTATAATAATATGAACATGCGTTTGTCTCCCAGCTCAGCTACTTTCCACCTGTGAAGGTTAAGTCCAGTCAGCTTATCTCTCTGACCCATGATAAAATGAGAATTAAAATGCCCACCCTCACTGAATTGAGGGGAAGGGAAATCGATGATGTGCCCTGAGGGCCCGGCACAAGAAGCCTTGCACAAAATGTGACCTTGGGGCATCCCAGGATGAGAGGATATAGGAAGAACTTACTCTAGGTTGTGCACTTCGCTGGATGATTTGGGACAGCCTGAGAAAGTAGGGAGTTGGCCCTAGATTGGTTACTGTTGGAGAGCAGGGGCATCTCTAAACCGTGTCTGCAGGGAGGGGAGATTGGCGTGCAGAGAGCAGTCACCACGCACACATGGCATCGTGCATCTTGGCCAAGAGAGTCAGTGTTTGGGATCTTTAGGTGACCCACAGACCTTGTCTCGTCTTTGCTAAGACACAGCTGTGAAGTGGCCCTGCTCTGTCACATGCATCATGGTCTCAGACCACCTCTGTCTGCGGTCATCACTGTGGGACTGTTGACGTCTAGTGGGAGAAACATGGCTCGCCTCTGAGGCCAGGCCAGTTTCCGAATGTGACACCGAGGCTCCTTTTTCCTCCTTTCTCGTGAGGGTGTGTCAGGAGCGTAGATTCTAAACAGACCAGGTTCAGTTTCCATACCTCTCCTCATCAGTTCTGTGAACTTGAGCTGTTAGCCTCACTGAGCCTCACTTTCCTCCTCTGTGAAATGGGAGAATCACTGTGCCTACCTCTAAGGTGGATCGTATGAGACGATGCTTGCACAGCATCTGGCATAGTAATCACCAAAAGTCTACCTTCTGAGCTAAACCATCTGTGTTATCACCTTGGTTGTGGTGATGGTGGGAGGGCCAGCATTTGAGGTCAGTAGATGCAGGACTAGTTTGGTTCAACAAATATTTATTGATTTTCCACCAAGTGCTAGATAAAAATTAATACTCTCCCTTGAAGCATTTGTTCCCCACAATGACGCCGTATTATAATCATAGCTTCCTTGACCGAACACATCCCCATGTGCCAGGGGGACCCCTGTTTAAGTTCCTTCTAGGAACCAGCTCAGAGAATTCTCACAGCAGCCCTGTGAAGCAGGAAAAGTGGCTGCTGCTATCATCAGCCCCATTTTTGCACGGGAGGAAATTGAGGGCAGATGGATCAGGTACTGAGGTCGCCCCAGCAGGAAAGGAGGGGAGTGGAACAGTGTCCTCAGTGCTCACACGACACGCCCCCCGGGCTGCTTGCCGCCACCCTGCCCGGGAGATGGGCACGAGCTCACAGAGGCTCCAGGCCTTGCAGGAGGGAAGGTCACCCGGGGCTGGGAAGTGGAGGGGCACGAGCAGTCCTGTCAGGTCTCAGAGGACATCTGAGGAGGTGGGCATTAAGGAAGGGCGGGGGAAGGGCATCTCAGAGGAAGGGACAGCTTGAGCCAGCCCTGTGGTGAGGTCCCTGAGACTGTGGGTTGACCCGAGGAATAAAGGGAAGGCCTGTGTGCCTCGTCCCAGGCGGCATACCTGCAGAGATTTGGGGTGAACACAGCGGTCTTCGAGAGACGCCACGTGATTGGGGGTGCGGCTGTTACAGAGGAGATAATCCCAGGTGAGCCAAAGAGGTGGGTGAGGGACGTGGGGGTGACCACTGGTGATCACTGTGACTGTCTTCATCCAATTCATCTTCAGGGTTTAAGTTCTCCCGAGCATCCTACCTCCTCAGCCTGCTACGACCGCAGATTTTCTCCGAATTGGAGCTGAAGGTAAGAGTGTGTGTGTGTATACATGTGTGTGTCCATCCACCTTCTCCGTGGCCTGGAGGCTGGGAAAGCTGGCAGCTGCTACTCTTCCCTCCGAGGGTGTGTCTTCTCCCATGCTCTCCTTGATGCCTGCCCACAGATGGGCTTCATCTGGCCCACCTGCTATCTTAAAGATTGAGAAATTTCACACACAAATCAAACGTCTCAAAGCCCATGTTCCTAGAGGCCGCAGCAGCTGACCCCTTTCACGAATGCCATCCTGGCTGTGCTTTGTCCATCACTCCCCGGGGCCCTGTCCAGCCCCCAGAGGAGCCCTTGGGCACCCGGGCACCTGAGTTTGCAAAGCGGCCTTAGGTCCTGGGCCCACCTGCTGCCCTCCTTACACTGGAGAGCCAGTCACCATCCCTGCAGCTTGAGTAAGGAGTCAGACTTTCGGCTCTTCGGGCTCCTGAGCCGTTGTAGGGCTCTGGGAACTCCCAGTCTGCTGCTGTTGACTCCTCTTAGCCTTACCTTAGTCCGCAGTCTTGCCCCCGCCTTTTCAGTTTCCTTTTACCCCAGCTGCCTTTTTGACAAACACGGTCATGCGTTCCTGGAGCCACTTAGCTGCTGGGTGCCTCTGTCACCCACCACTCAGAGAGGGTCCTGAATTCCATGCTGACAACACTTCAGCACCAACTCTGCGCTGATTTTGAAATTAATAAGACATTAAGCCATGGTCACCCATGAAAGAAATGATTCTTTGAATCCCTGAGACAGCGAGCACACCTGTCACCATCCAGGATCAGGTGAAATCCTGCCAAGGCCTGGGGAGGGGTCTCTGTCCCCAGACAAACCAGCCTATCACTGAAGGCAATTTTCAGACACACTAGATATGCACGGTGGCAAGTGCATGGGTAGGAGCCCCCATTTTATGGGGGAGCTCAGGGGGTTAAGCTCACACACAAGGAAACGACCGAGGAGCCAAGTCGAGCCGACTCCTCCCCCTTGTTCTGAGCTCTGATGTGCCGCCGCCAAGGGCAGTCTTGATAGCCACCCTGCTCAGCCTCATGCACTTTGCTGGTGGCCGTGGGTCAGGTCTCAGATGTGAGCTCTCAGGACCGACCTCTGTCCTGGGGAGAGCACAGGGCTGCCATTTCAGCCTCTAGAACAGAACCTAACTGTTCAGTTTTGAATCCCTGCTCTACTGTTAGTAGCTGTGTGACTTAGCCTTGAGGTGCCTTATCTTCCATATCTGTAAGATGGGGATGTAATCTTAGCAGCCCCAGAAGGCTGTTGTAGTAGTTGGTGTTCGCTCATCATTAGCTTAGTGCTTGGGACAGCCGGCTGGGGCTCCAATACTTTGGCCGCCTGATGTGAAAAGCCGACTCGTTGAAAAAGACCCTAATGCTGGGAAAGAGTGAGGGCAGGAGGAGAAGGGGCGACAGAGGATGAGATGGTTGGATGGTATCATCGACTCAATGGACATGAGTTTGAGCAAACTCCAGGAGATAGTGAAGGACAGGGAAGCCTGGCATGCTGCAGTCCATGGGGTCACAAGGAGTTGGACATGACAGTCACTCTTTTTATGGGAGAAAGTCCTGAAATCAGAGAAATAAATGAATCATGTTCAACTACTTGAACCTGAAGCAAACTCTGGGTTCTTCTTGGATCCCTTTTTGGGGGTTTATTGATTCATTCATTCAGCAAATGTTTTTGAGCATCTTCCCTGTGCCAGGCCCTGGGAGACACATGTGGACCGAAGGTGGTGAGGGAGGGTGGCGAGGCTGAGCTGTTAGTGAGAGAGCTTCAGGTGGAGGTAAGCACACCTGTAGAAAGGAAAATAAGGCAACACGACAGTGAGGGCTTGTAGGCCCAGCCTGGACTGGTGACAAGGAAAACCTCCCTTGGAGTTGGGGGGGACATTGGAACTGACATTCAAATGCCAAGAAGTCACCAGCACTGTGGACATCTGAAGGGAGAGTATTCCAGTCTGAAGGAAGTGGGAGTGGACAGGCCTAAGGGAGAGGAAGGTCAAGTGGCCGGAGCAGAAGCACCAGGCAGAGGGGCAGCAGACAGTATGGGAGAGGGGCAGGGCCAGAGGAGCCTGGGCCTGTGGGCTGTGAGGAAGGGCCTGCATTTTATCTTTTTCCATNTGGCCGGAGCAGAAGCACCAGGCAGAGGGGCAGCAGACAGTATGGGAGAGGGGCAGGGCCAGAGGAGCCTGGGCCTGTGGGCTGTGAGGAAGGGCCTGCATTTTATCTGAGCACAGCAGGGAGACAGAAGAGGTGCTGAATCGGGAAGCGAGGCGATGGGGTTCATGACTTTATGAAAGATCAGTCCTCCTGCTGGATGGCGTGGATTGTGGTGGAAGTGGTTGCAGGGCGGTTTAGAAGGTGCCAGCTGACCTGAGGCAGGGCAGGGGGATGGGGAGATGTGGGCAAGGTCTGGAGGCTGAGCTCTGAGACTTGGTGATGGATGGGAGGCCAAGGGTGAGAGACTCAGAGGAACTGAGGGTGCCTCCTGCATGGTAGAGAGTTCACTGTATCAAGAGGAGCCAAGCTGGAAATTCCTCCAGTTTGTAATCAAAGAAATTCCCCATCTCAGCATTAGGAAGGATCCTGTGGCTCTCCCAGCCCCACCCCTTCCAACACTCAGACTCACCCCCACAATGCTCAGTCATGGAGATCCTGCAGTCTGGAATGCCCGTGGTTGGGGAAGACTTCTGCTGTAATATTGGAAAGGTCTCTTTGGGTTTCTGTGTGTTTTCCTAACACTTCTGCTCACAGATCTCGTTTCTGTCCTCTGGGGTGGTGCCCTGTCTGCAACAGTGCATTTAGTCAATAGACTATGTATTGATCACATGGTGTCTAGATGCTGCAGATATAGCGCTGAGCAAAAGAGACTCAGCCCCTGAGTTCAGAGAGCTCACATTCTACCTGGGTAGACAGAGGAAAACTAAGTATGTCATTGACCAGGTGGTGATAAGTGCTTTGGAGAAAAATAAAGCAGAGCCAAAGAGTTGGGGGGAGCTGAGCATGCTACTCAGGTAACATCTGAGCAAAGACCTCCAAGAGGTGGGAGCAGACCAAAGTGTATCTGGGGGAAGAAGTCTCTAGAGGCCAAATCTGTCAAGTTGCATACTTTAAATACATACAGCTGCCTGTATGTCAATCACATGTCAAAAAAGTGGTTTAGGAAAAAAGTCTCTAGAGGGAACAAGAAGTCTTATTTGTAGTGGTAGCACAGGCCCCTTTTATTTCCACCTTCTTTGAAGAAGTAAATGTGCTCTTAGAAAGTTCTGTGTGCTAATCAAATATTTGTAAATCAAATATTTTAAATGCATCAAGGGAACTTCCATTTAAAGTGACCGTGGAGTAAATGAGTCTGCAAAGTAAATAAAAGGGTTTTTTTATGTGAATAATTTATCTACTTTGTAAGTATGGATTTTCACATAACTGTGGCTTTATTGTGTCTTTCTCAGTTTTAATTATTTCTGAAATGGGAGCACTTAAACAGGACTTTGGAGTCACAGAGATGTGGTTTGAAACCTGGATCCGCCTCCCTGTGTGACCTTGGACATGTTATTTCACTTCTCTGAGCCTCTGCTATTGCATTTGTACAGTGAGGATGATATACTTACAGAGTCATTATGATGTAACCATTGTAAGCCCTAGTACAGTCCCTGGCACTGGGTAATGTGGTATAGCGTGGCGGGGCAGGCATGGTGTGGTGTGGTCTGCCACAGTGTGCCTGGGCAAGAGAGCTTTTTATACGCTCATATCAAAGATAGGAACCAGGACCACATCCCTTGGGAAACTACATGTATATGTTTGTGCTAAGTCACTTCAGTCATGTCCAACTCTCTGTTACCCCATGGACTGTAGCCCGCCAGGCTCCTTGGTACCTGGGATTCTCTAGGCAAGAATACTGGAATAGGTTGCCATTCCCTTCTCCAGGGGATCTTCCTGACCCAGGGATTGAACCCACATCTCTTATGTCTCCTGCATTGGCAGGTGGGTTCTTTACCACTGGCGCCACCTGGGAATCCCCTGGAAACTTGCATACAGGTACCTAAATAAATACAGATCAGTTCAGTTCAGTTCAGTCGCTCAGTCAAGTCTGACTCTTCATGACCCCATGGACCACAGCACGCCAGGCCCCCCTGTCCATCACCAACTCCCAGAGTCTACCTAAACTCATCTCTATCGAGTTGGTGATGCCATCCAACCGTCTCATCCTCTGCCGTCCCCTTCTCCTTCTGCCTTCAATCTTCCCAGCATCAGGGTCTTTTCAAATGAGTCAGCTCTTCACATCACGTGGCCAAAGTACTGGAGCTTCAGCTTCAACATCAGTCCTTCCAATGGACATGCAGGACTGATCTCCTTTAGGATGGACTAGTTGGATCTCCTTGCAGTCCAAGGGACTCTCAAGAGTCTTCTCCAACACCACAGTTCAAAAGCATCAATTCTTCAGCACTCAGCTTTCTTTATAGTCCAACTCTCACATCCATACATGGCTACTGGAAAAACCATAGCCTTGATGAGACAGAATTTTGTGGGCAAAGTAATATCTCTACTTTTTAACATGCTGTCTAGGTTTGTCATAACTTTCCTTCCAAGGAGTGTCTTTTAATTTCATGATTGCAATCACCATCTGCAGTGATTTTGGAGCCCAAAAAAATACAGGTCACCCAAGCACAATCAGAGAAGGGTCATGGGCAGATCCCTTCAGATGTTTACCTGTAGTGTCTGTGTTCTGCAGAAACATGGGCTGAGGCTTCATCTTCGAAACCCCTACTCCTTCACCCCCATGCTGGAAGAGGGCACAGGGGGCAAAGTGCCCCGGTCTCTTCTGCTGGGCACAGACATGGCGGAAAATCAGAAGCAGATCGCCCAGTTCTCAAGGAAGGATGCCCAGGTAGGGAAAGTTACCACTGATAGATATTCTCTTCCATCTCAGCCTGGAGGCTTCTCTTTTTTCTTTTTAAACATTATTTTCTGAGAGATGGGCTCTTTAAAAAAAATTTTTTTTTTATTTGACTTCCCCAGGTCTTATGGTTGCAATATGTAGGATATTTAGTTGCAGCATGTGAAAACTAGATCTCTGACCAGGGATTGAACCTGGGCCCCCTGCATTGGAAGTGCAGAATCTTAGCCACTGGACCCCCAGCGAAGTCCTTTGGAGGCCACTGTTGAAAGGAAATGGGCCTGGTTGGAATTCTCCTAGGGCAGGTTGTCCAAGGCCACAGGGGTGTGGACAGGCCACCCCATCTGCCCTACGAGGGCTCCAGTCTGTGCCAGCCTTTCATCTGGGGCACTGCAAAGAGAAGGGGTGGAGAACAGTGGCTAAGACCAGTGAACACAGGAGACCCTCAAACCCGTTTGTGTTCAGCATGAAGCCACTGTTCAAGTTTCAAAAGGGAATCCACTGATATGTCCTTATACCTCTCCTTCTTTCAGACAATTCCAAGTGGTTATCCATATTAAAGCGCATGAAGGTCAAAAAGAAAAAAGGGTGAATCAGAGACAGTTAAGGATAGAACAAACTGGATCAGGAATTTAGGATAAGAGAGTTACAATAAATATTCATCTATTTTGGCATCATTCCCTGGCAGCCCAAGGCAAGAATGTATCCATGATGATGAGCAGGTCTGATGCAGAAGGCACAGATTTTCCCTTGGGACTGCACTGCAAGGAGTTTGTTGGGTAGCTTTGTCTAGATGAGTCATTGAATGTAGTGGGTCTGGTGTGATTGGTTTTACAGACAGAAAAAGATTCTCTGAATGGCCATTTGTTGTACCAAGCCTAGCTACAAGCTGACGGCATAGCATTAACTCATATCTTGGTGGAGACATTTTTCTAAGAAGAACCTGGGTTAAGCAATCCATGTGAGATGACTTTTGTTGTTTTAATCTACTATCGGGTAAAACCAAGAAAACCACAGATCCAGCCTCTCTCTTTAACCAGTGGTTTCCTAACCTGGTGGACAATCGGGTCACTTGGGGAGTTTTGCATTTTTTTTCTTTTTAAGTGCTTTTCACATGATTCTTTTGTACAGTTGCACTCTGTAGGTTGCACTCCCTACACTCTCTCCTCCAAATCCTACCCATCTCAGATGCACTGGAGAGGATTCAGGACAAGACTGGGTCCCTGGGCTACAGGACAGTGGCCGTAGCCATGGCTGGTGACCACAGGAATAGGAGGCAGAGGCCGCATCTCAGTGTGGAAAGTCAGGAGCAGAATTCTGGTTTTGTCTTTGCACATTGTCACATTGAAGACCTGTTGCAGAGAAAGCTGTTTTACCTTCATTTTAATCAAGAGTCTCCAGTGTAATTCAACACAGAGTTTTTCTTAATGTAACAGGTGTTAGAATTCCATGGGTATATCCAAGAGTTCTAGAACCAAAAATTAAAAGCTCTGGGCTAAGAAGTAAGATAGGGCCTCAGGTGGCATAGATGTCCATCCCTGCTCCTGTCACCCATCCAGGGAAGAGGGGTCACAACCAGGCTGTCATATGCATTCTGTTGTAGGAGATTGTGGGGTGAAGGGAGGCAGGGTTCTGTTCCTGCTGATGATGAAAGGATGTTGGGGGTGGGGTTTGCAGACCAGGAAGGAACAGTCAACATGCTGGGGTACAGAGCATGAGATCTTACTTCTACCAGTAAGATATAGAAAGACAGAGACAGAGAGAAGAAACTTTTAAGTGGTCTTTGGTTTATCACAGAGACCATGACCTAGGGTATTTGAGTTTTCCATGGCTGACAGCTGGCCAGCCTTAGACCTTGTCCCTGCCACCCCCTATGACCTCCCACTATTACTATGCAGGCTCTCTCTCACCTCCCCTTGTGCTGACGGCAGTGCACAGACCTAGAACTGGGAGTAACTCTGCACGGCCAAGAAGAGTCATGCTAGGCAGGGCGTGGGGCCTGAGGAATCATCAAGGCTTGGCTCAGGGGCAGCAGGCCAGGTGGTCTGGAGGACAGATCATGGGGATAGGGTCCTGTAGAATTCTAGGCAGTGGGACCTTGACTCAGAGCCCTGTTCCAGGCCTTTCCCAAATATGAGGCATTCATGGATCGCTTGGCATTGGCCATTGACCCTCTGCTGGACTCAGCCCCGGTGGACCTGGAGGCCTTCCAGCGGGGTTCCCTGCTACAAAGGCTCAAGTCGCTGTCCACCCTCAAGCCCCTGTGGCAGGCAGGTAAGTCCAAGGGTGGGTATCAGGGCATGATGAATGCCTTCATGTGGCTGAGCCCAATTTCTCCATGATTGGACATAAGCCTGAACCTCTGAGGCAGCCTGCCAACTGCTGTCAATTAACAGGGGCTGCCTGGAGTGCTATAAGTGAGACAGTCTTGTCTTAGGCTGGCATGCTCTAAAAAGGGAGCCTGAACCAAAGGCTTATGTTCAAGTAGTTCATTTTGAAGGGGGATCCTAGGGAAAGGAGGAGGAATGGGAAAGAGAGAGAGTCAGTACCAGGGTGCGTTACTGAACTGGCCACCACTGTGAGTGATAATGTCCTGCCTGGACCTTCTGAGGAGCCTTAGGGAATGCATGTGACAACGTGCCCAGGAGAAGAAAGGGGAAACATTTACCCACTGGGTTCTGTTCCCCAGCATTCAGAGGTTGCCCCCATGGGTATTAACTCCCACATGAGGCACTAACTTCTGGGTTGTGCATCCATGGGTGCCAAGCGAGTCCTATGGGTATTCTGTCATGGTGTCAGAGAGGCCCCAGGCAAGAAATGAAGAAGAAGCGCATCTTACAGGCCTGAGGTGAGATGCGGTCAGGTTGCACTGCATGCAGCTGGCCGGAGCCTGCATATAGCTCGTCACCATAGCCATCGCTGGGGGAGGCTGAGAGAGATGGGACCAAGAGAGTTTGAAGAGATGCCCCCATCCAAGAAGGATGCTAGATGACTGGACTCAGCAAGAAAATATCTGTGGCGAATTATTGATGTCTGCTGTGAGTATGAGAAGGGAAGTTTCACCAAGCCTGCTATTATTTTCTACCACTCCTCTAGGGTACAAAGTGTACCCAAACTGTGGTGCTAGAGAAGACTCTTGAGAGTCCCTTGAACAACAAGGAGATCAAAGCAGTCAATCCTAAAGGAAATCAGCCCTGAGTATTCTTTGGAAGGATTGATGCTGAAGCTAAAGTTCCAATATTTTGGCCACTTGATGTGAAGAGCCGACTCACTGGAAAAGACCCTGATGCTGAGAAAGATTGAAGGCAGGAGGAGAAGGGAATGACAGAGGATGAGATGGTTGGATAACATGACTTTTGGATAAGATGACAGTTGGATAACTGACTCAATGGACATGAGTTTGAGCAGACTCCGGGAGATAGTGAAGGACAGGGAGGCCTGGTGTGCTGCAGTTCATGGGGTCACAAAGGGTTGGATACAACTGAGCAATTTAACAACAAACAACAAGGATACAAAGACCAGACAATCTATATTTTATAAAATTACTGAACCAGTTAGCTGTGGTCACAAAGTTGCCCCATAACAAACTACAACATTCCAGTGGCATGTAAAAATAAACATTTATTTTTCGTGTGTCTGCATGGTTCAGCAGGTCCCAACTGGGCTGAGCTGGTCTGATCTGGTCTCATGCATGCATTTGTGGCTGGGGCAGCCCTGCTCCAGGTGCCTCTCATCCTCTTCTTGGAAAATGCAGGCTTGTCCAGGCATGACCTTCTTATATCAATGACAAAAGTGCAGACAGCAAACCCCAAGGTGCAGGCCAGTTTCAAGCCCCTGATTGCATCATGTTGGCAAACACTCCAATGGCCAAGCAAATCATGTGAGCCCAGAATCAGGAAGTAAGGCAGGTTCACTCAGCTAGGGTGGGAGGCAGTGCAGTTACAGGGCAAAGTGTGCAGACACGGGAAGGATGAAGGAGCCGAGCTAGTAGAATCTATCACAAATGTCAAGAGCAGACATTGCCTCCCACATCACCAGTCCAAGGAACCTCATGCAATAAACATGCATTAAACATTCACGTAGTAAACATTTATTGAGCAACTGCTATGTGCCAGACAGCAAGCTCGGCACTACGGCAAAATGCCTAGAGTTCATGACCTCTACCTTCAAGGTTCTAGTGCCCAGTTACTCTCTGAACTAGTTTAAATCAGTGTCAGAGAAATGAGTTAGCCAAACCACTGCCTCCCAGGGTACAGCCTTAGAGAATTCAAAGAGAGTAAGATACAAATTTAAAATGGCCCCCAAATAATTCTAACAGTTAAAATGTATTAAGTGCCTATAGATTTAGAAATGCTTTACTTACCTCATTTAATCCTCACAATAGCTTTTAAGGGTAGAAAATATGACTCCCATTTTATAGATAAAGAAACAGGTGCAGAGCCATTAGGATCAAAGTGTTCCCTTCTTGCCTGTCTCGGTTTACATTTTATGAATCTTTCAGGTTGCATCCTGGGAGCCCAGCTGCCCCTGTATTACCAGGTCCTCACAGCTTCAGCCGCCAAGGTGAGTGGTGCCCCAGCCTCAGGCTGGACCTCGCCATGATGGGGCCTCTGCTCCCCAGGTAAGCCCTTCTCCCTCCCATCTGCTTTCCCAGGTACTGGATCAGTGGTTTGAGTCTGAGCCTCTCAAAGCCACTCTAGCAACGGATGCAGTGATTGGAGCCATGACAAATCCTTACATTCCAGGAAGTGGGTGAGTGTGGAAGGTGAGGTGGGGCAGCAGGAGGGGAGCAGATACCCCCGCAAGAGCGAAAACTATCACTCACTGAACTCACCCGATGAACCAGGCAGGTGCCGACTACTTCACACAGGATTCATTTAACCCTCAAGGCAACATTGGAGAGCTGTGGTTCAGAGAAGGGATATATCCTTCCCAAAGTCACCCAGCTAGTAAGGGCAGAGCTGATTTCCAGCCTGACTTTTCTGACGCCTGCACCCCTGCCAAGTCTTCCTTCTTAGCCACTGCTCCCCACTGCTGCAGTAGAAGAGCCTCGGTCCTGTCTCCTGCTGTGATGTCTCAACATGAGTATCTCTATCTATCTATGCATCATCTATCCATCTACCTATCTATCTATCCTCTCTCCCCTTCCCACGAAGCCCCGTTGCCTGCCCTTCTCCCGCAGGCCCTTTCCCTGGGTTCCAGGATGCACGCGCGCACACACACACACACACACACACACTCGTTCACATGGATGGGACGCTGCCTTTCCCTTTGTCAGTGGGAGGTGTGCTGACAGCCTCATCCGAGAGGGGGCAGTCAGACACAGTGAAGTGTGCAGTTGTGGTATGACTGAATGAGCCCTGTAGGAGCAGGAATGGAGGGTGTGTGTGTGTATGTGTGTGTGTGTGTGTGTGTAGGGATAGAGGATGCTGCCAAGTCTTGGGCCATTTCCAGGGCACCAGAAGATGCAGCTAGAAGCTGTCAATGTGGCTTATCTCTCGAGGGATAAGAGCATCCCTCGGAAGTCGTTTTTCAACACACACTAAGCCAGCCCCAAACTTCCCAGGGCCATGGAAAAGGCGGGGGTGCATTGGCAAGTGCTTGCAACACCTTGACCAAAATCAACCAGCCAAGTAGGATTTTCTAGCTGGGGCCTCCGGGTCCTTTTCTCTGTGGGTGTCCAGGAGGCTTTGCCACTGCCCAGTTTGTGAAATGGACCTTTAAGACATTGTTTTTTTTCCTGTTAATTCTTTCAATAAATATGGATGGAGCAGTTGCCTGCACTAGGTGCTGAAGACACCATAGTGAATGGAGCTGAAATCCCCATGGGAGAGGCCGATATAGACTGTGGAGTGGAGAACTATTTACTGTGGGCATTGTGATGGGAAAACGGGGCAGGGGGGCAATGTGGTCCAGGCTCAGAGAAGCCCCCATGAGGAAGAGATATTTCATCTGAAACTCTAGGGACAGGAGGAATTAGCCAAACAAAAGAAGAGGGAGGAAGGGGGTTCTAGATTCCAGAAGAGCATGTGCAGATGTAGAACTGCAAGTGAATTATGTGGTCCATTCAAGGCACTGAGAGAGAAAGAATATTTGCACCTAGAATTCTGGGGAGATTAAACCCCATCTCCAGCCACTGATTCTGATTATCTGTCTTCAGGTATGTGCTACTCCATCATGTGATGGGAAGTCTGGAGGGGATTCGGGGAGCCTGGGGCTACGTCCAGGGAGGCGCCAACTACTTCACACAGGATTCATTTAACCCTCAAGGCAACATTGGAGAGCTGTGGTTCAGAGAAGGGATATATCCTTCCCAAAGTCACCCAGCTAGTAAGGGCAGAGCTGATTTCCAGCCTGACTTTTCTGACGCCTGCACCCCTGCCAAGTCTTCCTTCTTAGCCACTGCTCCCCACTGCTGCAGTAGAAGAGCCTCGGTCCTGTCTCCTGCTGTGATGTCTCAACATGAGTATCTCTATCTATCTATGCATCATCTATCCATCTACCTATCTATCTATCCTCTCTCCCCTTCCCACGAAGCCCCGTTGCCTGCCCTTCTCCCGCAGGCCCTTTCCCTGGGTTCCAGGATGCACGCGCGCACACACACACACACACACACACACTCGTTCACATGGATGGGACGCTGCCTTTCCCTTTGTCAGTGGGAGGTGTGCTGACAGCCTCATCCGAGAGGGGGCAGTCAGACACAGTGAAGTGTGCAGTTGTGGTATGACTGAATGAGCCCTGTAGGAGCAGGAATGGAGGGTGTGTGTGTGTATGTGTGTGTGTGTGTGTGTGTAGGGATAGAGGATGCTGCCAAGTCTTGGGCCATTTCCAGGGCACCAGAAGATGCAGCTAGAAGCTGTCAATGTGGCTTATCTCTCGAGGGATAAGAGCATCCCTCGGAAGTCGTTTTTCAACACACACTAAGCCAGCCCCAAACTTCCCAGGGCCATGGAAAAGGCGGGGGTGCATTGGCAAGTGCTTGCAACACCTTGACCAAAATCAACCAGCCAAGTAGGATTTTCTAGCTGGGGCCTCCGGGTCCTTTTCTCTGTGGGTGTCCAGGAGGCTTTGCCACTGCCCAGTTTGTGAAATGGACCTTTAAGACATTGTTTTTTTTTCCTGTTAATTCTTTCAATAAATATGGATGGAGCAGTTGCCTGCACTAGGTGCTGAAGACACCATAGTGAATGGAGCTGAAATCCCCATGGGAGAGGCCGATATAGAATGTGGAGTGGAGAACTATTTACTGTGGGCATTGTGATGGGAAAACGGGGCAGGGGGGCAATGTGGTCCAGGCTCAAAGAAGCCCCCATGAGGAAGAGATATTTCATCTGAAACTCTAGGGACAGGAGGAATTAGCCAAACAAAAGAAGAGGGAGGAAGGGGGTTCTAGATTCCAGAAGAGCATGTGCAGATGTAGAACTGCAAGTGAATTATGTGGTCCATTCAAGGCACTGAGAGAGAAAGAATATTTGCACCTAGAATTCTGGGGAGATTAAACCCCATCTCCAGCCACTGATTCTGATTATCTGTCTTCAGGTATGTGCTACTCCATCATGTGATGGGAAGTCTGGAGGGGATTCGGGGAGCCTGGGGCTACGTCCAGGGCGGCATGGGTGCCCTCTCTGATGCCATCGCAAGCTCAGCCACCGCTCACGGAGTCAGCATCTTCACCGAAAAGGTGAACAGCCCCTTGACACCCACCCCAATTTTTGGCAAGTATCTTAGAATAGAACACAGTCTCAGATTCAGAGGGTCCTTAGTTTACTGATGAACAAGGCTGGGTTTGGGCTCTGCACACTGTCACTGGCTGAGCAGCTATGACCCAGGCCTGTCCCCTTTTGAATTTGCACTACTATCGCACATTTGGGGTGAGCCTTTGTATTGGGGAGTGGGCTGACGCCTCACCAGAATCTGCAGGAAATCAGCAGGGGATGAGAAGGCTGTGGGTGCCTAGGAGCAGCACAAACAGTGGAAATCCCCCAAGAGCCAACCCTTGTTTCCCTCCCCGGGGGTCCTGGGGGCTCCTGCCGCTGGCCCTAGACAGTGGCTAAGGTGCAGGTGAGCAGTGGCGGGCGCGTTCAAGGAGTCATGCTGCAAGACGGCTCGGAGGTGAGGAGCAAAGTGGTGCTGTCCAACGCGTCGCCACAGATCACCTTCCTGAAGTTGACGCCACAGGTGAGGCTGGGGAGGAGGTGAGGCATCTCCCAGCACAGGTGGGGCTGGGGTTGGAACCTGGGGGCTTCAGGGGGCTGCATCAGGGTGGGAGATGTGAATGCCAAGTCTCCCCACACTTGGGGAAGCCTGTCCTTCTCCACTTACCTAACAGGCAGGTAGCAACAAGCCTCACAGGTGAAGGAAAGGTCCAGGGAGGTGAGGTGACTGAGCCCAGGCAGTTGGCGATTGGCAGAGCCACAGCTAGAACCCAAGTCTGATTTTCAACCCAGAGTTGTTTCTGCAGCTTTCCTGCTGTTCTGATTTTTCCCCTCTAACCAGCTCTGATTCCACTGTTTATGCCAATAACCCATCATCACATGAACATTGCATAACAACCACACAACTGCTGGGCATATCACAAGAGTTATGGATTAGTACACGGAGCAGGAGGAATCAGTTGACATTGACTGAGTTCAGCTGATCTGGGCTCACCCACACATCTTCCAGCAGCTGGGGCACTTGAGGGCCCTGCTGACGGCTGTGGCTAGTCCAAGGGTCTCAGTCAGAATGTCTGGGATGACTCAGCTCTGCTCCATGTGTTTCTTATCCCCCAGTGCAATAGTCCAGACATGTCCTCAGGGTCCGGCGCACAGCAAAATGGAGCAAACTCAATCACGCAAGTGCTTCTGTTTGCTTCCTATTTGCTAACATTAGCCTTGTCTCACGACCAAGCTCAAGAGTCACAGTGGGAGGGCAATAGAAAGGGGTGTCCGTATAGGGAGGGGTGGGGACTTGGAATAGCTTTTGCAATTGACCACATGTGCCCTGTCCCCCAAAGATGTGCTAATATGTGTATGAGCATGGAGCTCCCAATGACGTGGGGCTTATTCTTGGGGACAAGGCATCATTTCTCTTGAGTGATTCCACTAATAAAATTCAGCAAGCACCAGTTTCAAAAGCATCTTAAGACAATTTTGAGATCATCAAGGCTTCCAAGAGCTTAGAGGCCAGAGGAGAAAGAGGCTGCAGCTTTTGGGCCACATCCATAGCAGGAGCTGGTCCTGCTCCTGGTAAGCAGGGCCGCTTACCACCAGGACGTTGGCAAAGTACACAGGCAGAAGTGGTTAATACTGAGGGCGAGGAGTCCAGGAGGGCTTCACAGAGGAGGCATTTTGGCTAACTCTGAGGGAGGGAGAGGATCTCCTACAGCAGAGGTTGAGGGGCCAGTCTGAGTAAAGCAGGAAGGCAGCCCCCTTGGGGCTTCAGCCACCCCTAGGGTGGAACCTTCTCTTTCCAGGAGTGGCTTCCTGAGGAGTTTGTGGCGAGAATTGCCCAGCTGGACACCCAGTCGCCTGTTACCAAGATCAATGGTAAGGGACACAGCGGACTGCAGAACTGTCTCTTCTGAGATCTTCTGAGTGAGAGATTTCCATGTCTGGGAAAGACTGACCTGTCTCTATTCCCGGCCCCCCAGCCTGCCCCCTGTTTGAAGGTGAAACACTTTTTCATGCTTCTTGTTTCCAGCCCACCGTGTCGGGGAGCAGGTGCTGGGTAGAGAAGGAGGGCCCTGGAGGGGCTGAGGACCCAGACCCAGACCCTCCCTTTTGGTCTCCCAGTGGCTGTCAACAGGCTGCCTGACTTCCTGGCAGCCCCCAACACTCCCAGGGGCCAGCCATTGCCCCATCACCAGTGCTCCATCCACCTGAACTGTGAGGACACCCTCCTTGTCCACCGGGCCTTTGAAGACGCCCTGGATGGCCTGCCTTCCAAGAGGTGGGGGACCTGGAGACGCTCGAGCCCCTGGTTCGAGCACAGGGTGTGTGTGGGGGTGGGGGCAGGGCCCACTGCACGTCCACCTCCCTGGGCCGGCTGGGACCCGAGAGCCTGGAGCCTGGAGGTCTGGCCGAGTCAGGGACCTGGGGATGAGAGAGCTCCCCGTGGGTGGTCTGGACTGTCCTGCTGGCCACCAAGCCCGTGCAGGCAAACACCACCATAGCCTTACGGAGATGATCCGTCCGGCCCAGCATCCCCAGCTCAGGTCTTCATTTTGTCCCGTCATGGAGGATGGCGCCACGGCCCTTCCCTCAGGCAGGCGTTGCCCTTCGGGCCCTGCCCTCTCTCCTCCCCTGTCATACACAGACCTCTGATCGAACTCTGCATCCCTTCCTCGCTGGACCCCACCCTGGCCCCCCCTGGCTGCCACGTCGTCTCCCTCTTCACTCAGTACACACCCTACACGCTGGCTGGAGGCAAGGCCTGGGACGAGCAGCAGAGAAACGCTTATGCGGACAGAGGTAAGGAGAGCTAGACCGTCAGGTCTCCATAGTGACAGCTGGCTGAGTGGCCTGAATGGACCCCTCTCCCCCTGATGGCCCCACTCCGGATTAACACCTGCAAGGCCTGTGCCAAGGAGAGAGGAATACCCAGGGAAATCAAAATCAACACAGTGAGTGCCTGCTGGGGTCAGGCTGTGGGCCAAGAAAGCCAGAAAGACATAGTTCTTGCCCTCAGGTTGCTCACAGTCCAATGGGGGAGAATAATAAACCAATCTTACAGTCAACAGACTGCGTGAACCAAAGGAGGAGCCACAAGCCAGAGTGACAGGAAAGCTTTCCAGAGAAAGGGGCATTTGAGCTGGGTTTTAAAGGGTGAATAGGAGTTGACCAGTCAGCAAAGGGCATTCCAAGCAAAAAAAATAACTTGAGTGGATCAATGAGGTGAAGAAATTTTTGCATATTCAAGGGGAGACAGAGTTTAGAGTTGGAGTATAAAGGTGGGAAAGAGTGGGAGGCTGGAATAATCTGAGACCCACAGGCCTTCATAAAGAATTGTTTATTTGCTGGTGGACTATGTTGTTTGTTTTGTTGTTGTTGTTTTGCTTATTGAGGTATAATTTGCATATAAAAATATTCATTTTAAATGTAGAGTTTAATGAATCTAGTAAACTTGCCAAATTGTATAATCATAAGCCTCTTCTTTTTCATAACGCTGTCTCATTTCCCTGTGTTTGGCACCCAGTGTTTGATTGCATCGAGGCCTACGCACCTGGCTTCAAGGGCTCCGTGGTGGGCAGAGACATCCTCACACCCCCTGACTTGGAGAGAGTCTTTGGGCTTCCTGGGGGGGTGAGTTCATATAGGATGGGAGGCTTTCATCACACTCTCCCTTCATTCTCTTTGCACCTCCACTCCTTGACATGCCCACTTGGTTTTATCCTGGCCCTCCACACCCAGCCTTAGGCAGGAAGGGAGGACAGGGGCAGAGACCACAGCGTACAGAGGACAGAGACACGGTCAGTTGTAGGCAGTGGGGGAGGAGAGAGGAGACATAGACTGGAGAGGCAGCGCCCACTGGGCAAGTCACCAGAACTGTGGGATTTCTGCCCGGACGTCCATGTCAGCATCCCCCATCTGCCTTTCTCCAGAGGGACCTCCCCTCCCCTAGGCAGCTTAATCTCACACTTCTCTTCAATTTATCAACCACTCACTCACTGAGCCTGGAGGCAGGGAGTGGGTAGGACACCAGGGCCAGAATAGCAGCGACTAGCTGCGATTGGCTATTGAGTACTTAGACGTGGCCAGGCCAATGTGAGATGTGTTTCAATATAAAATGCACCCCAGATGGCAAAGACCAAAAAAATGCAGCAAGGCTCATCAATAATTTTAATATCGACCACATGTTGAAATGATATTTTGGTTAAATTAAACATATTATTTAATTGGGTTAAATTAAACATATTATTAACATTAATTTCACCAGTTTCTTTTTAAATGTTCATGTGGCTAATGGAAAACCTAAAAGTATATGTGTAGCTCCAATTATATTTTTATTGGACAGCATAGGCTGGCTAGAGTGTGAGGGAGGCCAGGCAGTGGAGAGGGAAGGGAAAGGGTTGAGGTGGAAGGCTTGGGGCAGGTGGATTGAGACATCTTGATAAATGCATGTGTAGAGACGGGGGTGGAGGGAACGTAAAGGGTCCACCTGGAGGCCAAGGAGGGGGAGGTGATGCCATCCATCTGTCGAGGAGGAAACTCCAGGGAAGAGAACAAGCTCAGCTGGGGACACGCTGAAGGGGCAGGCGATGGTGACCCCCACCATGATTTCCAGCAGATGTTGGTCTTCTTGTCAGACCTACCCCTCGGGTGTGATCTTCCCCTTCCCCCACACCCCTCCCTCCTCAGCTGGTCTGACCCAGGCCATTGGAGTAGAACCACACTCGGGTCCCAGCACCCTGGTCTGCCACTCACTGTGACCTTGGACCCTGGGGCCCAGGCTCAGATGAGTGTCTTGGCCAAAGAAAAACACATTAGCAGTCAAAGTAAATCAAATTCCTCTACTTTTCAAACAGAGTGAGGGGGATTTATAGTCCACGACACAATCTTTAAAATCTCCCTTTTCTCTCCCATTCAGTTTCCTCCCCCTCTGAAGATGCACCCAACCCTTCTTCCTTCTTGAAAAATGCTTCTAGGAAAATTCACCCCCAGCCCTGGGACTTGTGCCTGTTCCCTCTCTTCCTCTTCTCATTCTGCATCACGAGAGCCCAAAAACATCCTGGAAGGAGAAGAACCTTCCTTGGAGAACAGGGGAGGGGAAGGCGGTGGAGACTGTAACACTCCTATGTTAACGACTACGGCCCTGCCTCTGCAGAACGTATTCCACTGCGCCATGAGCCTGGACCAGCTGTACTTTGCGCGTCCTGTGCCCCTGCACTCCGGCTACCGCAGCCCCCTCCGCGGCCTGTATCTCTGTGGCAGCGGGGCCCATCCTGGTGAGTGAGCCTTGGTCCCACTACCCCGGGTGGGTAGCGAGGGCTGGCCAGACATCAGAAGCTTGCAGACAGAGGGGAAGGTGAACAAGGCGGGAGATGAGAGGGAGGGGAGCAGAGAACTCTCAGGAAAACAAGCCCTCCCCTGCATTGAGAATTCTCCAGCCAGAACCCTCAGGTTCGCTCACCTCCTCTTCGTGAGGCCTGGGGACACGTCCTAGTGGAGGCATCTCTCCAGTTCCCACTGGGGGTTGTGAGGGACCCATGTGTCTAAATTCTGCATCCATATTTGAGACCAGTAAGGATCAGCACAGTCCAGTTTCTCAATTATAAAATTCTTCCCTGCTCCCATCCCAGGCCTAACTGACCCCGTGGAGGCTCATCTCATATGGGTGCTTCCTCTGAGCTACGTGGGCCTCGGTCTCCCAGACGGGCCTGAACTGCCAGGTCTTCCCCTCAACCCCTAGTCCCACATTCTAGTTTCTTGCGCTGGGAGTCTTGCCACCTGGCCCATCAGCTCTCAGGCTGGGAAGGGCAAAGGGGGACACTTGCTTGGACCAGGCACTGGCCCTTCCGGCATGGATTCAGGAAGCCTGGAGGAGTGTCCAGGATCTGTCTTGATAATCGTCCCAGGTGGTTCTGTTATCCATGCCCAGTATCACCCTTTAGTCTTCCCTGTTCTGCTTTGTGGCTGGTGCCTTGGCAATCCCATGGGGGGATAGAAGGGTGGGAGGGTGTGAGCACAGCTTTGGCTTATGGGAGGCTCCCTTCCAGGAGGAGGTGTCATGGGAGCCGCTGGACGCAATGCAGCCCACGTGGTCTTCAGGGACCTCAGGAGCATGTGACCTCAAACTAACTCTGACCCAGGAAGATGAATTCACCCTTGAGATGTCACTTTCCCAGGATATGGCCTGAGGCAAGCAAGTCCTCAAGGCCCAAGCCACTGTTCTAGAAGAAACATACAAGTCACACGGGGTCCTGGTTAACCTCTCATCCAAGGCTTCATGAATAAACTGGTTTTGCTTTATATAGATAGTTTGCATTTTTTCTGTGTATTAGTGGAATAGGTAATATGTAATAACCACATGGGATAGACTTGTCTGGGATACTCAGTAATCTCACAGCATCAGCTCCAAACAATCCATGTGACCAACAGGCACCCTCTCCTCACTGCCAGGCCCCCACTGCCAGCTGATCAGAGGACTGCCCTGGGGAGGCCCAGTCCACTGCCGTCACACTTCTGGCAAACTGTATAAGAAGGGACCCAATTCCCCAGCGCCCCACAAAGTTACCCACGGGGCCACTGCCTGGAGCAGTGTGTGGCCTCTCCAGTCATCAGAGCCTCCAGAATGGGGCAAACAGCAGGTGGGGTGAGTGCAAAGTGGGTGCAACCGAGGGTCATCTGGGGACCCACACTCCCAGTCTAGAGACTCAGCCTCTGGCTTGCCATGAGCAAACCATGCCTGTCACATTACTGAAATCTTTCCTTATGAACTCGCATTATTCTAAAGTGAGTTGGGTTGTCACTCTTGGTCTGAAAGAGTCCCACAGATGTCCCCAAAGTAGCGCACCTCTCCCAGCCAGCCCCTTCACCTCTCCCAGCCAGCCCCTTCCATCCTAACAGCCAAGGCTGTGGTGCAGAGGCCCCAGAGCAGAGCAGGTGGAAGATTCCCCGGGGCATCTCCTTCCACCATGAAACTTATACAGAGTAACATAGATCTGCCTTATTACCAGGAGAAATATCAATAACCTCAGATATGCAGATGATACCACTCAAATGGCAGAAAGGGAAGAAGAACTAAAGAGCCTCTTGATGAGAATGAAAGAAGAGAGTGAAAAAGCTGACTTGAAATTCAGCATTCAAAAAAAAAATTAAGATCGGGCCGAGGCAATAAGAGCGGCGGCGGCGGCGGCGGCGGCAGCAGCTCCCAGCTCCGTCTCAGGTCCGCCTCGCTCCGCGGCGGCCATCAGACCCCTGGGCTCAAGCTAGAGGGGCTGGGAGCCGCGCGCTCGGCTCAGGCACAGCGACACCGCCCTCCCCGCGCGCTCCTCCCCGAGGAGCCGATTCCGCGCCCGGCCCGCCCGCCCGGTGCTGCCCCGGCCCTCTCGGCCCGCTTGAGGCCGCCCGCGCCCGGCCCCGCCGCCGCCGCCGCCGCCGCCGCCATGGGCTGTCTCGGAAACAGCAAGACCGAGGACCAGCGCAACGAGGAGAAGGCGCAGCGCGAGGCCAACAAGAAGATCGAGAAGCAGCTGCAGAAGGACAAGCAGGTCTACCGGGCCACGCACCGTCTGCTGCTGCTGGGTAAGGGCGGGGCGGGGGGCGCCGGCCCCGGCCCAGCCCGGGGGGGCCCCTCGGNCCTAGACAGTGTATTAAAAAACAGAGATATCACTTTTCTGGCAAAAGTTCATATAATCAAAGCTATGATTTTTCCAGTAGCCGTGTACATACATGAGAATTGGACCATAAAGAAGGCTGAACACCGAAGAATTTATGCTTTTGAATTGTTGTGCTGGAGAAGACTCTTGAGAATCCCCTGGACTGCAAGGAGATCAAACCAGTCAATCCTAAAAGAAATCAACCCTGAATATTCATTGAAAGGACTGATCCTGAAGCTGAAGCTTCAGTATTTTGGCCATGTGATGTGAAGAGCCAACTCATTGGAAAAAGACCATGATGCTGGGGAAGATTGAAGGCAAAAGAAGAGCATGGCAGAAGATGAGATGGTTAGATAGCATCACCAACTCAGTGAACATGAATTTAAGCAAACTCCAGGAGATAGTGGAGGACAAGGAAGCCTGTCATGCTGCAGTCCACAGGGTCGCAAAGCATCAGATACAACTTAGCAACTGAGCAACAACAAGCCTTATTATATAACTTTAATAAACCCAGATTTCTCACCTGTAAAGAGTTGTTTTAAAGATCAAATAAAACGATAGATCACTATCTCTCATAGGATAATTTGATTCACGGTGGTGCTCTTGGTGCTAATATTGTGGCTGGAGATATTATTGTCATTTCTAGATTCTGCAGAAGGCAGTCTTTTCGACATCCTTTTTAACCTGGCACCAGATTGAAACCAGCCTGCTAGAAGCAGTGTGACCAGAGAAGAGCAGAGAAATCTTTGGGTCCACCAAGCTTTTCCCACAAGAAGGGCTGTCAACCTTGTCCTGTCCCCCTGCTCCATGCACCATTGGAACAGCTAAAATTTTGAGCTTGTTAAAAATTTGGTTTTAGCCTGTGTTCCAAGATTTGCCTTCCTCAAAAGACTTACCAGGGTGCAAGGAGGAGGGGAAAGGAAGAAAGAAAGAAGGAAGGGAGGGAGGGAGGCCTCAGGGTGAGGGCAAGCACTTCCTCTTAACACTTAGGTAAGGAGAGCAGAACTGAGTAACAAATAGGAACTTGTGAGATCCCAGGGGCCTGGGGCGGATCACATCAGACTTGGTCTTTCAAAATACTATTTTTTTGTAAATAAAAGTTACAGATGCTTATTTCAGGAAAATTTTAAAATAGAATAAGAAAGAACATAAAACTCAAACCTAATCTTACTTGCAGAAATCATCACAGTCACCATTTTACAATGGTAATTTTCAGCAATTTTACATAATTGGGACTATATTTTATACTCTATAGGTGGGTTTTGCACCTTTCTTTCCTTCATTTTACTTCATGTCACGAGCATTTTTCAGTCTCATAAAAATTTTTGGAAAACATTATTTTTAATGGCTGCTTGATATTCTCTTGTAAGGATTATGCAAGACTTATTTTAGGACATTGAGAGTAGCCTTGGCCTTGACTGCTAATTAACCTCCCTTTCATCACGGCCACTCTGACTTACATGACTCGCTCTCACCCCTAAGAGGGTGCTGCTGCTGTCCTGGCAAACATTCCCTCTGAAGAAGGAAGAACTTGGAGGAGGGGCCGGGGGAAGAGAAAGAGCAGTGTTAGCAGTGAGAGGAAGAATTTCCCACTGTTCAGTGACTTCCTGTCTCTGTCTCACATCTCTGGAAGATGACATTTGGTTTCCACTTATCAGGGGCCGGCCCTGTGGGGTGCCTGGGTTCCTGCAGGCCCCAGCACGCCACCAGCCGAGCAAAGGGGATCGCACTTTCCCAAGATAATGACTGCAAATTGGCCGTGGATCAGCGATGGGTCCCCTGCTGACTTCAGAATATAAAACTCTTATAAGGATAAATAAGTCAGTGCCACGCTGTTCCCTGATTTACAGTTGCCTATTTCCCCAAAGCAGTAGGAAACACTTCCTCTGAGGCACAGCTGTGCACATGTGAACCTCACCTGGTTAAGTCATCAGAGCAGGCCCCTCCTGCTCTGACGGTCCCTGGGTGATGGTCCCTGGGTGATGGTCCAGAGTCTGAGTGAGATGGAAGGTTTGCAGCTCTGGGAGGGATTGGAGCATCCTAGCTGGAGGAGTGACAGATGTGCCTGGCCAAGCCACCTGCGGCCCTTGTGAGTGTGCATTTTTCTGACACACATTCTCTTTGCAAAGTGCCTAACTCTCCTGAGTTCTGTGGGACACTGAGAAGGCTCCCGTGGTCAAGGCAGGAGCACGGAAGGGAAGAGGCTGGCCCAAGCCCACAGTGACATTCTGTGGGAGTGGGAGACACATGATAGACCACAAAATGCAAAATAGGGAGAAACGTGAATGGACAGCAAGTCTGACAAAATATATAACCTCACCAGGAATCAAAGTCAAGCAAGTGTGTTTTACCTATAAAATTGAGAGGGATCGTTTATAATAGAAAATTACCAGGTGGTCAGAAAATTATAAATAGAAATAGAAAATTATCTATATAAAAATATAAATAGAAAATTATCTGGTGGTCAGAAAAGACACTCTTTTATGCAGTGGCAGCAGCATAAATTTGATTTTAATAATGAGATTCAAAAGCCAACACTCAAAAGCCAACCCATTTGGTATTCAGCATCTTGTCATTTAGCCTGAGGAAAATGTCAGAGATGACCCCCGGGAGTTAGGTACAATCATATTCATGCAGTGTCATTGACAAATGGCAAAATATTGGAAAGAGTTTAAATATCTTGAAATACAGAATTAATTACATTAATCATGGTAACTAAACTGCATTGATGGAATATCAAGGTGCAATATTTTCATTTATTTGTTTATTTTTGGCTGCCCTGGTTCTTCACTGCTGCTCACGGATTACTCTCTAGTTGCATTACACAGGCTTCTCATTGCAGTGGCTCCTCTTGTTTCAGAGCATGGGCTCTTGGGCACATGGGCCTCAGTAGTTGTGGCTCACAGGTTTTGTTGCCTCATGGTACATGGGATCTTCCTGGACCAGGGATCTAACCCATGTTCCCTGCATTAGCAGGCAGATTCTTAACCACTTGACCACCAGGAAATCCCAAACAGCAATATTTTAAAAATCATGCTTTTGAAGTAACTTTTTCAGTCACACTGAAAAAAATGCTACTTCCCTGGTGGTCTAGTGGCTAAGGCTCTGTGCCCCCAGTGTAGGGGCCTAGGTTAAATCCCTGGTCAGGTAACTAGATCCCACATACTGCAACTAATACCCAGCACAGCCAAATAAATAAAAATAATTTTTTAAAAAGGTAAGATACAGTGGAATCCCAATTCTTTCATATCATAAAGCTATAAAGATAGACATCTTTCTGTCGCTCTCTAATATATAGGAAAGTGAAAGTGTTAGTTGCTGAGTTGTATCCGACTCTTTGCGCACTGTAGCCCGCCAGGCTACTCTGTCCATGGAATTCTCCAGGCAAGATTACTGGAGTGGGTAGCCAATCCCTTCTCCAAGGGGTCTTCCCCACCCCGGGATCAAACCAGAGTCTCCTGCATTGCAGGCAGATTCTGTACGATCTAAGCCACCATATATTTATCTATGAGATATATGTATATGGGAGATATATGAATGGCTGTATATCATCCATACACATATGGATAGAGAGAGAGAGAGAGAGAGAGACGGGGATGGAGAAGGGCAGAGGCAGACAGAGGGGAAAGGCCTGAGACGCTCACATGTCAGCAGTAGCCTGAAGTCTTTCTGGCCACATGGTGGCAGCTTGAAAAGCATTCCTTTCTACTTACATGTGACCTATCTTCAGTTCAGTTCAGTTCAGTCACTCAGTCATGTCCTACTGTTTGTGACCCCACGGACTGAAGCACACCAGGCCTCCCTGTCCATCACCAACTCCCAGAGTCTACCCAAACTCATGTCCATTGAGTCGGTGATGCCATCCAACCATCTCATCCTCTGTCGTCCCCTTCTCCTCCTGCCCTCAATCTTTCCCAGCATCAGGATATTTTCAAATGAGTCAGCTCTTCGCATCAGGTAGCCAAAGTATTGGAGTTTCAGCTTCAATATTAGGCTTTCCAATGAACACCCAGGACTGATCTCCTTTAGGATGGACTGGTTGGATTTCCTTGCAGTCCAAGGGACTCTCAAGAGTCTTCTCCAACACCACCGTTCAAAAGCATCAATNCAGGTCAGGTGGTCTGGTATTCCCATCTCTTTCAGAATTTTCCACAGTTTATTGTGATCCACACAGTCAAAGGTTTTGGCATAGTCAATAAAGCAGAAATAGATGTTTTTCTGGAACTCTCTTGCTTTTTTGATGATCCAGTGGATGATGGCAATTTGATCTCTGGTTCCAGAGTAGATAGTGAGCAAGTGACATTCACTTGGTAGCTTGCTCTGTAGAAATCTTCCAAAATAATGAGTCTCTTAAGAAAAAGTAACAAAGAGGGTTGTCAATAGTGAAAAATCATTAGAACCAGACCTACACTTCCTCCACTGGGCGTTGGTTTCTGCCTGATCTCTCAGGAGCTCTGGAGGAAGTGCAGGTCTGGCTCAAAGGCTGGCATGCATAAAGGGGTTGACAATGCCTTCCTCACAGAGGGGATGTGAAGATTCTATATATAAACACAGCCCATAGAAACACACCCACCCTACAACCCAACAGTGACACTCCCAAGCATACATCAGACAAAAGTGCTTACAAGCGTTCACCAAAAATACATAATACACTGCTCACAGCAGCACTATTTGTGATACCTCCAAACTGGTGGCAACACAGTGCTCATCAACATACAAGCAAGTTATAGCATATTCATACAAGGGAATCCTGTTCAGCAATGAGAATGAACAATCTGGAACTGCATGCCGCAGCACTAAAGCACTAATGCCTGGTCATCTGTTAGCCGCAGGGCTGAGCCTGGAGTCTGCCATCACTGAGGTCGTTTCTCAGAAACGCCGGGGTGTGGACCCTGGTTCTACTACCAGCTGACCTTGGGAAAACTCCTTAACTCCTCGGAGTCTCAGTTTCTTTTGTCTAATAGGGATAATGATCTTTTCCCTGGTGCAAGGCACACAGCAGAGACTAGATTTCTTGCTGCCTTGCAAAATGCCGTTACTGCCCTCAGAGGCAGATGGTTCAGACAGACTGAGAGGCACTCTGAAACATTCTGGGCCCACAAGAGGAATGAAATTAAAGCCACTACATGAAGAAATGGAGCAGGAGACCTTCTAGTGTCAGGTTTGAAAATCGCTCAGACGGAGGGCCCCCAAGCCAGGAGCTTCCATCCTGGGACAGCAGCACACACACACACACACACACACACCCCTCAACAAAAAAGCACCAACTCACACACACAGATCAATTTATCAGGGCAAGAGAGAAAGAAGCAGGCAGGGCAGTTTGCCAAAGATGGGGTCTGTGTGTGGGCTGTTGAGCTGTATTTCAGGTCCAATGAATCAATCTGCCTTGAAAGAGCTCTTCCAAGTCCCTGACTGTAATCAGAGCTGCCTTCCTCAGGGTCTGTTTGTTACTTTCAAGGTCAGGTGACAAATACAGATCTTCAGAGTCACATACAGTCACTCTTCACCTGCCTCTGGAAAAACACTGCAATATCTGGAGAATCAGCTAAGGACTAGTCTGACTGCAGGTGGTTCAGAAATAGGGTTGGGTTTACCTCTAATTTCTCTCCTTGTTGGCTCTCCAAGCCTCACTTCAACGTTGCCTCTACAATGCCTCCCCTAGCACCAAGATCTCCATTAATTCAATTGTTGAGTCTTACTGTAGCAGATATACCTGGGCAT